CTTCATGTTAAATTTATTCTTTTTTAAGCATCACTGAGATCTCTTTAAACTCACATAAATTGAAAAAACCTTTATGTAACAAACTATGCAAATAAATGTTGAAAATTCACAAAAATCTCTCTTAACATCGACTAAATAGACTACTTTCATATAACAACCTAGTAAGTAGGTAGTAAAGTAAGTTTCTTAGCAAAATGTATTTAAAAATAATATTAATCAGTCACATTTTTCTTAAATATAAAGAAAACTAATTTGATAGGAACATTCTAATTTGAATTGCGAAAATATGATCTGAGAAATAACAACACATCCAGTGTCTCATCACCAAGTCTGTTTCTCATATATGCAGCTGCAGAGAAAACGCGTTTAGGTTTGATGAAAGTTGAAGGAATCGTTAGTAAATACTTATGAGCTTCGAGGACACGGAGAGGATGGAAGAAAACAGTCCGGTCGACACGGATCGGGATTGTAAGTTACCTGTATTAGTTGTTTAACTTTAGGTACAGTTTAATATGTTATTTCGATAAGAACTAATATGCATATAACGTAATTTTTCTATATTTAATTTTTGGTCCTTGTTATCAAAATGTGATCCTCGTGAGAAAAAATATCGCCCTGCCTAATCTATACCTTTGAAAAACGCATCTTTGTGAGTAATTATTATATACGAAGAGACTCCATTTGTATATTTGTGAACCAATTTCGACTAACTACAGACTTGCTTAAACTGAACGACGTGGTATTACATACAATGGTTTAAGTAATATTTTATAAGTTAAAAATTCATATTTTAATATATAAAATAACTTAAATACATTGTAATTCTTAATATATTACTATACTATTTCAAAAATTTGAATACAATTTCATATAATTGTTGAACTAAAAATATATGAATAAATTATTTACTTACAATACCTTTCGTTGCGTGACTTGTGTAAATCACACAACAAAATTTCGCATTTATATTTGTTTCAACCAATAATTTTACTGATTGTTTATATCCAGATTATCATAAATTTTATTGCATGTCTATAAACTAACTTTTATATAAAACTTATAAAATGATATAAGTTTTATGTTTGTTTTATGTTTATATTATTTTCATATAAAAAAATATAATACTTTTTCATATTATATTAAAAGTATTTATATTAAAAATTAAAAGGATTTTTGCTCGTTTATTTTTAATCTATCATCGATTTATATTACTTAATAAACAATAGTGACTTGATCATTTATTTTAACCATAATATATAGGAATTTGTATGTATTAAGTTACTGTATCCTTAACACGTTAAAAATACATAGCAAAAATTTTGAATTTGCTATGACCTTTGAAATTTTTATTTTAAAAATATATTTCTGTAGTTGTTCATTTTATTTAATTTCCAGCAAATGTGATTTACTCATCATTGGGACTCATAGAAAATAATACTAGAGAACAAAAAAATCTAGTTAAAAATCTTAATAAAAGTAAGATTTGGATTAAAATAGCTTTTGAAAATAAATTTTATTAGTAAACTACCAAATTTATAAAATATCTTTTCACTTAAGTAATTATCTTAAAATTTATATTATTTATAAGTTATAAACTATTAACTTGTAGTACATCTATGATACAGGTTTTCAAACTACTATAATATAAAAAATAAGAAAAACAAAAAAACATATATATATATATATATTTACAGAGTTTATATACTTATATGCATTATACATATAGAATATATATAAATAAAAGATGATCTTATAAATTGATTCATATATCAACTTATATGCGTGTGCATGCGTGTTTGTATGTTTGTATGCTTATATATATGCATATATTTTAAATATTATTAGTTAAATAACCTTAAGCAAATTTAAAATAAATTTATTTTGATAATAACTAAAAGATTGCATTATAACTTTTTCAGAAAATGTCTTCTGTTACAATAAAACCATTAATTAACAATTCATGTTTTAAAAATGTATTCAATGTGATATATAAGAATCATTACAAAATGACATATTAAGCAGATTCTACGGAAATAGCGATGAGTCCATTTGGACAAACTGACCATTCATATGTTAAAAAATAATCTATAAAACTATTATTAATGATATAAAAATGAACATGTTGAAATTTTTGATGAATTGGATAATAAATATATCATCATTTATTATTATCGAAAGAGAATTATTTTGGGTTTATTGAGAAAGGCATAAATTTTATTAGACAATAATCCAACTGCAGAATCGTTACGTCGAAAATAATATACATAAATATAGCAATAATTATTATGTTAAAAAAAGTTTTTTATGGTTAAATATCATATGAAAAATTATAACTTTTTTATAACAAACTTGTAACCTGTATAAAAAAGTACGCTGATAAGTTCTTAAGATACGGAATGACACTCCATGAGATCATTTATTACGGCTATTTTAGGAACTTCGTGCCAGACTCCGAATATACGTCATCCGAATGCCATGCGACTGCATCACAACTTTCAAATTTGATTATTTTTGTTATTTTGTCGATTTTCATGTTTGAAAGTAAATACATCTATCGTTATTACTATTATTAGGCTAAACATTATGTTTAATACTGTAGATGTAACCAGGGCTGTGGAGTCGGAGTCGGAGTCGTCAAAAAATCCGCCGACTCCGACTCCTTTTTACTTACCAACTTGTTATGTATATAAAACGGAAAAGTATTGGAATCGTGTCAAATTTGACCCTCCAAGTTTTTTTTTTTTTTTTTTGCAAATCTACACGTTTGGAGACCTCCCGAACCCCCTCAAAAAAGTCAATAAAGGGGAAAAATTCGCGCGCGCGTGTGTGTTGGCATCTAATTTGTTTAATTTCTTTATTTTCTGTTCTGAGATATTAAACAATACCTCAGCATGGGTAAAGTTTAAAGCTTTGTGGCTTGCGTATAAAGGGGCATTAATACTATTAAATTTTTGTTCTTAATTAAAGATCGACAGGGTGAAGACATAGAAGTGGTCATGTGTCATATCTCTTAATGAATATTTTACTCGTTATTAGCCATCAAAATTAAAAAAAAATAAATAAAATTTGTCTCTACCCTCAAAGTAAACTTTTTTGTCATTTTATAATAGTACAGTAAAACCCGTTAAGATGTTCTCGCCTAAGATGTTAGAACGTATATGGGGACACAATTTAGTTCGACCGCTTTGACTTAAATAACTAACTCCCGCGTTAAACCATCCGACTCCGATTCTGACCACAGAAATTATTAGGCTTCAAACGGGGTGAACGAAATCATGCCCCCCACACACAGTCTAACATCCACACATATAGAAAAAACTCGAATCTTTTGCATATCTCGAAATTTCACGGTGTCCCGAGTCCAAAAATGTAAAAGTTTGGAAAGGGTCATTTTTTGACCGAGCGCTACACTTTCCCTCTGTTATATATAACAGCCGGAAAAGTAAAAATTATCGAATACATATTTATATATTACTTAGAGAAGTCTTTTAGCTTTGGAATAAAAAGTTTCTACGCTCTATCTTTATTACAACTCTATTTATTGAATATTTTATTCTGAGGTCACGTGATGACATCAGAATTTCCGGGTCTCTTTCGGTAACAAGTCTGCCCCTAGTCGGAGTCGGAGTCGGACGGTAAGGAAAAGTCGGAGTCGGAGTCGGTAGATTTTTACGCGACTCCACAGCCCTGGATGTAACAATAGATGTATCGATACAAATTAGGCTATATGGAAATAATGAAACTTTCTTCAGCAGTTTGACATTTTATTGTTGTCACTATGCCTCATTCTGTAAGAAGTATATACGGTAGGAGATACAATGTGCTTTAGTAATTAATATAACGCAATTACTATATTAAATGTATTAAATGCACTCTTCATTTTCTTTTTTAAAAATGAAGAATTAGACACTTATATTTTCCCAATAGAAAGTTATGGTTTACCATTAATTATTTTAAATTATAACTTAAACTAATATTTGCAAATATTCTTAGTCAAGGGGAAAATTAACATTCAATTTTACTTTTTTGGGATGAGACAGAGTGAAGTGAAACACAGTTAAAAATTCTGAATTACAGCTTACGATTTCTAAAATTAACTTGAAATAGAAGATGTGAATTAGCATACATTGATTGTTGTTATGACATCTCTGATTAATATTTTCAGATTTTCAATCTTATAATCTAAATTAACATAAAATTTGTCATTGATAGAAGTTTGGGAAGGTAAAATTTGAAAAATGAAACGGCTAAGCAAGAAATGATTTCACTAGTTATTCGATGATTGATTTGTCTTTAAAAACTGATCATAGAAGTTTTTCTTATCTTTAACATTAATTTTCCAGATGATTAACATTTATAGACTTTCGCTTAAATACGTAATTTTATTAGATAATAATTTATACAACGAACATTACAGAAATAATAATTAACACGTTCGTTTAGATCAGTGTTCCACAACCTTTTTATACTTGCGGCACACCCATGACTCGACATGACTCAACGCGGCACACCAAAATGCTATTCCCCTCAAAAACGTATGATATTGATACTATTAATAGAATTACGTAATGCCACAAATCTATTATTATTATCATCATCATCATCATCATTCTTATTATTATTATGTTGGGTTTAATGGGTTATACTCGGTTCACACCGGTGGCTGTGTACTATGCCGGACCAGAGTCAAGGCATAGCAACCAAAACAAAACTAAAATTAAATAAGTGTGTCAGTGTCTGTATTCAGGAATTTCCTAACAATATGGCATGTATTCAATATAGTGGCCTTCTGTTGTGTTATGTGTGTATTTCTACTCAATTGTAATGTTCCCAGGCTTTTGTGTAGTGTGTGTGGTATCACACCTGTACAGGAGAGAACAACAGGTACAATAAGCACCCTATCCATCCTCCACACAATTACTATATTAAATGCATTAAATGCACTCTTCCTTTTCTTTTTTTAAAAGTAAAGAATTAGACACTTATATTTTCCCCATAGAAAGTTATGGTTCACCATTAATTATTTTAAATTATAACTTAAACTAGTATTTGCAAATATTCTTAGTCAAGGGGAAAATTAAGATTCAATTTTACTTTTTTGGGATGAGACAGAGTGAAGTGAAACACAGTTAAAAATTCTGAATTACAGCTTACGATTTCTAAAACTAACTTGAAATAAAACTAAAAAGATTGTTTTGCTAGTTCATTGTTTATTTAATTAATTTTTGTGGCACATATGGTTTTTTTATTTAAATATAAAAATATCACATTTTTTAGGGCTAGCAGAGATAGCGAGTATGAGAGAAAATACATTAATGGAAGTAAAAAATTGTAAAAAACGAAGCGAGATGATTACATTAAGCGGCAAACAAATAGTATTATGAAATATGTCACTGAAATTCGGTCATACAAGACAACCAAACGAAGTTGAAAAAACTCATCTATACTGTATATCACGGCGCTTTGGAAGAAGGAAAAACAATTCAATAAATATGTTAAAGAACCATTCAAGAAATTTAAACAGATGAAATTGAAAATAACAGAATTTTCTACGAACAATTGTATAAACCATGCTGAAGAAGAAGACAAGAATTTTAACATTGAAGATACTGGTACGTGGCCAATTGGAAGAATAATCAAACAGTAAGTTTAATACAGTAGTTCAACATGGTCCTGTACAAATCGGCCATATTAAGAAACGTTTCTCTATGTCAAAAAATTCCCGGTTCTATATAGCTCACTAGATGGAAACTACTCTGTAATAAAACATATTTGATGTACCAGTACCTGTGCAGCCTACCTTAGTACAGTAGCGTGCCGTGACATTTCACGATAGGGAAACTGTGTTTCTGTAAGAAGCTGACTTCCAGGGACAATCAGTTAATTGCGCGTCAGTGATTGTCTAGGGTCCATTCGTATTCGTTTGTTCGATAAGCCAATAAAAACCGTAGACT